TTTGATGTAAAAAAAATTCAATGAGGATTTAAGTCAAGAAGTTTGTGTAAAATTCAAAGAGATAAGTTTAAAGGACATAATAATTTACCAAATCGTCGTAGTTGATGTAATAATCAGTCACAACCACTTCAAATGTTGGATGATTCTCTTCTTCATTATCATTAGTGGAGAGTCAGATAGGGCTCGTTTAGCAGAGGGAGAGGTGAGTGTGTTTTAGGCCTTTAGGGTTTGAGTATATGATACCATATATATGGGGCCGACCCATTTGAAAAAAATATTTCAAACACCCTCCTCAAAAATTTTGAATGCTAATTTTCCCTCTTAAGTTTTTTCATCATTCAATTTTGACAGCTTTGTATCCCATCGTTTGAATTCTAATTAAATTATTTTTAATGCTAATTTCATCAATTTTTCATCCTAAATTTGAATCCCAAGTAGCAATTTTGATTATGAAATATTAATGAATTAAGTTATATATTTTACATATTTAGTCCCCCTTTAATAATCGATAGCTATTGACTAATATTGGAGTCATATGACCTATGTTATTACGTCGTTGTGATTCATAGTTATATTGACCATATATAATATCCAATATATAATTCCATTCATTAAGGTCATACGTATCGGCCACTAGTTATTCATAGCAACCATAGAAGTCCATTGACTAAGATTTCAGTCATATTGCCTATGCTAATTACATCGTTGTAATTCATAGTTATATTGACCATTTATATAATAGCCAATATTTAATTCTATATATTTTTATTGGTTAATCTTAATTATAATAAAATAGAAAACATGATTAAATTTTAGGACTAAAATATATTCTAACTTCTTTATTAAGAGGAAAAATAAGATGACATTTTTGGACTAAATTGTCAAATAAAATTTTTGGAGGGAAACAAAGGAAAAAGTAAAAATACTATTGGAGGGAAATTAAAAGTTTTTGACTCTTTATATATCTCCTAAACATAATTTAAACAACATTTCCAACTCTCCAAACAAAATGGATACTCTAAACATGAATGCTAATGGATGGATTGAAGATGATTTCGATCCATGATTTAGGATGGATATGCCCAGATCGTACATTAAGCGTGATGATCTCGTAACTTCACTTCTTCTTTTTTCATTTTTATGATATGATTTCTTACCCTATCTGATATGATAGCCATTGATTATCCTAAAGCAATGAACCCTGAACCATATCTTTACATTATATTTTTGCAGTTTCTTCCAAAGAGCATCTGTGACTATCTTCCTCCTATTTCGGTTAAAACAATTATTCTATGTAATGAAAAGGAATGGACTGCGGCTCTCACAGTTAGTGTTCGGAGAAGACTTGTTAAGGGTGAAAATAATTTGTTGTCGACAATAATTTGAAGAAAGTGAGTGTTTTTCTCCTTGAACTAGCTGAGGCTACATCAGAGGTTGTGATCCTCTTTGTTAAAGTGCAAGGAACACCTAATGTTTAGCTCGTCAGATGTGCTTTTAGTTATATGTAGTGACCGTGTTCTACCCTTTTCATTCAAATGGATCAAAGTAGTATTGTAAGAGCATGTTTCTGGATTAATATGATTGTTCCTTATAATATTGTATGCATTTTTCGTGGATTATTATTATATTTATTTATTTTATGAAGACTAGCCGATTAAAAAAAACCTATTTAAACTGGAAATCATTTATAGATTTAGTGCAAAAAATGAATGAATTGGAACTAAACATTTTTTAATAGTTTTATGCCAAGTCCCCCTCTTCTTTTCTATCCTTTTACAACCAAGAACAAGACTGGAAAAAATATCTTTAAAAAAAAACTAAAAATCAACATTAATTTGCTCATAGAGAAGTGAAAAAATCAACAGCGAAAATTAAAAAATTATATTTACCAATACAAATTTCGGAGACCAATCCGTTATTAATTAGAATTCAACCACCAAAACATAAACCTAAACCTAAATCTAAACGAACCTAAATCTATGAAAGGCACTGCCACTATATGGCAGAAGATAAAAAAAAGTTATCCAAAATCTGTTTAGGCGGATGGATAAAGACATGCTTTGATAATTAATTGTAGTCATGGAGGAGAGAAATGATTGCATGGAGGAGAGAAATGGTTGCATGGAGGAGTGAAATTGACTATTGGGAAGTGTAATGGTTGCATGGAGGAGTGAAAATTGACTATTGAGAAGTGTAATCGTTGCATGGAGGAGTGGAAGGGGCTACTGGAAAGTGTAATGGTTGCATGGAGGAGTGGAAGGAGCTACTGGGAAGTGTAATAGATACATGGGAGAGTGGAAGTGGCTACTGAGAAGTGTAATATCCGCATGGAGGAGTGGAGGTGACTACTGAAAAGTGTAATGGCTGCATAGGGTCTCTACAAAGAGACATTAAGTCCTACTGGGAAGTGCAATAACTATTATAACTCTCCCTATATATTTTTCTCGTATGCTAACCCTACATAAAACAAACAAACTGAAACTACTACTACATCTAAGCATAACGATGGATAAGACTCCCATCAAGAAATCTGTTGAATAGCCACTCCATGTCCATGGTTCACCCGTTAGTCATAATATTTTGTACCAAGATCTTAAGCGTGAATTTACTAAGCTGAAGCGTGAGGTTAATGAATTACTTGAGAGGCTAGTTCGTGACTCAAGCATTGATTACCTAAAAAGTGTCATGTTGGAGGAGCATCCGCTAACTTCAATTTATACCATGCTTGATGATATGCCCACACCATCTGTCCAAAATAGAATCAAGAGCAATTCTATTATTGTTATCACTAGTGACACTGAGTCCGCCTCCAAGACCACTAAGTCTCTCTCTGTGACCCAGAATATTGAGTAGTCCATGCATTATGAAGTTTTATCTCAAGTTGTCTTTTGCATATGGTGATATTTTTATAATAGTCGATGAAGTTGTCTACCCCTTATGGTGATGTTTTTATTGATCTTATTATATTTTGGTGATATTATGAAATCTCATATTAATGAAATTATATTATTATGTCTTTGAATCTTTTTTTTACTTAAAGGATCGTTTGATGCCTGCTAACAAAACAATCCAATTGTCTTCAAAAGTGCATGATGGTAGGCTAGAAATCCGTATTTTAATTGTAGTTTGCACTCCAATTATTGTATTTTACTTGTATTTGAGCTTAAATGTTAGTGTATTGCACTTATTATATGTTTAGGAGTGCTTCCGAGCTATTAACATAATTTGGAACAAACTTGAACAAGTTGGAGATTTAAAGTCTGAGTAAAACCTCAAGAAATTACACGTTCGGGGTCGAGGACCAAGTTTGGATATCAAAAAATGAGGAAAAAAAGATTACTCTGAGAAAAATACACTACCGCACCGCGAGGCCCATGACGCTAGTGCAAAATTCCTGTAGAGTGAAAAAAGTCAACTCTCTGAAGATCCTCACTAATGTGGCGCATGTGGCGGCGCATAGGGCGCCACACTCCAATTATCCTACTTCGGCTTGAAAATGGTAGTTTCATACGGGCCTGTTCCTATATGGTATAAATACACCAAAAATGTGATTTTTAGAGGACTTTGACCTTGGAAGTTTTGAGAGAGCATTGGAGGCTGCAAGACACATGATTTCATCATCTTTCCATCAATTCAATACGGGAGTTTGCATTGTTAAGTTAGATTGATGCTTTCTTACTCTTTAATTACAATTGTGATGACTTCCTCTATGATTATGGAGTAGTTTACCATATGGTTCGACGAATATAGTATTTTGATAAATATTTGTGGATTTTAACTCTAGTTCTTGCTTGAATTCGTTTATGGAGTTTTGAATTCTTGCAACTTTATTCACCGGTTTATTTAATCGAAAAATGGATATTTTGGTGATTATCTTTGCATTATTTTGTTTGATTTAATTCAGTGATTCTCTTAAGTAATCGCAAGAGCTTGTTAAACTGTTGATTAAATCAAGTTAGGAGAATATTCGAGAGACGTTTTCCTAAAGACTAATTCATTTACTCATGCTTGCATATTTTCGCAGTGCTTTTATTAGTTCACCTCGTAGAGTTAAGATTTAATCGAGAGATGAGTCTTGACTATATGTTTGAACTAATCATCGAGTGAATTCGTAAGGATCATTAGAGAATTGGAGTGAATTAAACTAGAGTTAAATCCCATATCACTATCTTGCACCTATCCTGTCATGACCATTATTTTTCACATTGATAAGAAAGCGACTTTGCTAATCTCTAGTTTGTTGTAGTCAATCGTCAATTGCTTTACTTTAGTAGTTAATCATAGTTCATAATCATTCCAAATCAAGTTTTGATCCTCCTGAATAGTAGTCAAACCAGGAATTACTAGAGCATTGTTTCAATCCAATCCCTGTGGAGACGATAATCATACTATACTATCTTTGGCTAGCGAGCATCACTTTTGTGTTGTGTTTTGCGCTCATCAGTGCAACTGTTCGTTTGATGCCTAATGCAATGAAAGAACTACGGGTAGCATTTGTACAGATTAATTAAGTCCTCTAAAGGTGGTCAATTTTTTGTCAAATTAAGAAAGCACATTGAATTTTTGACACCAACCTTGGACAATAGGAAAATGTATTGTCATAAAATATGTAAAAAACTTGAAGATATTTGAGAAGAGAAGAAGTACTAATGAAGAAAACTTCCCAAGTTCTTGTCAAAAAAAGGAATTTTTGAGAGATGTATCAAATAATGTCCAAAATCAGACATTACTACATTTTTCCATAATCAAACAAATGTGAAAGGTTAATCAAACATTCCATACAGTGTCTAAAATCTGATGAATATCAGGGATCAATGTATTAAGGTTTAAAACAGGTGCAAAATGAATCTACCGCTTATAACTACTAAACATCTAGTCAGTAGATGATATCACTTTGATACTTAGAACTAGACTTTTCAATTAAGATCCAACAATATAGATAAAATATTCAATTCATAAGGGGGAAAATAGTTTTATTAATAATCAAACTGAATAATTTTTTATATCTTTATCCCTACAAATATTCCAGCTAACAACACAGACGAAATAACACTTGCTCCATCGTCACCTTCAACCCCTACACCACTTTCATCTACAAACGAACTTGAAGATGGGCTTTCAGTGTCAGGATTTTCTTCTTGGAATTCATTGAATGCTGCTATGGCTTCATCATAAGATTTGAAAGACTGGAAGATGCTTCCTTTGAAACCTATAACCATAGGAGCACACTCACACCAAGAGTCGTATAATTCGGGCCTTTTAGCACGAAATACCACATACACCTTCGATGCCGATAAATTCTCAGCTTGACAACTTTTTCTGAACTCATTTAACGTTGCTATGGATTCATCATACAATTTGAAAGCCTGGAAGATGCTACCATTGACACCAGTAATCATAGGAGCACACTGACACCAAGAGCTGTATAATCCAGGCCTCTTACCACGAAATACAACATAGACTTTCGAAGCATTATTCCTCTTTCCGTCCTACATTCCTTAATCCAACCCTTAACACCAAAAGAAAGATAAGAGATAAAGAAGGAGAAAATAAAAATAGAAAAGAAATGGGGGCCGGAAAAGCTTCTTAGGTGAAGCACTATATATTTAAGAGTTTAGGGTTAGAAAATGACCAATGCAAGATGAGTATAGTAGTTTAAATGTATATGTATTTCCTCTGGTATACTATGTGTATATTTCAATGTATTTCGTTTGGAATAGTAAGTGTATATGTGCATTGAGTGCTTTATGGAAAAGGATGTAGCCATGCATGTGTATACGTGAAAGCGGCATTGGGAAGGTAATACAATTGAAATAATTAGATGTCACGACCCCAGTTCACCCTCCATGAACATGTCGTGATGGCATCTAGTTCCTACAACTAGGTAAGCCTAACAGTGCGGAATAACAAATTAACATTTGCGGAATAATTAATTAAAACTGAACATACAGAATTAACAACTGTATATAAGGCCACTCGGCCTATACAACTCAAAATATGCGGAAGTCTACAACTAAATCCCAAAACCCGAAAACTCACGAGAAACACAGGCTAATAGAATGTAGTAAACTGCTCTACCCCAGAATGTCTAAACAACATGAAAGGAAAGAAAAGGAACTATATGCTAAAGCCGGAATAGAGTAGAGACTCCTGGTCTGCGAACGTAGCAGATATACCTCAAGTCTCAGCTAGGACTCTCCACCACGAGGATGATACGTCTGGGAGGAAGTACCTGGATCTGCACATGGAAAACATGCGCAGGAAGGGCATGAGTACACCACAGTGGTACTCAGTAAGTGCCAAGCCTAACCTCGGTTGGGTAGTGACGAGGAAGGTCAGGGCCCTACTGAGATAAAACATAATAAATAATGAGATAACGGAAGCAGTTTAAATAAAGTCTACAGCGAGAATCTAAACCAGGTAAATAAGGAAGAACAGTAATAGAAAGCAAAGGTAACAATACAAGGAAAACTGCCCTCAACAAGGAATAATAGCCAGGGGATCTCTTGGTATCCTCAATAAGTAAGTCGGGGATCTCTTAGTATCCCGAGGATCTCTGGGTATCCTCAATAAGTAAGTCGGGGATCTCTTGGTATCCCGAGGATCTCTAGGTATCCTCAATAAGTAAGCCGGGGATCTCTTGGTATTCCAATATATATAGAAACACATGTGCCAGGGATCTCTTAGTATCCCGCACCCTCAGTCCAGAATATCTCAAGTACAGGGGATCTCCCGGGAAGCCGTCCCGTAGTCCCAAATTAAACACACAACAACAACAACCTATAATCTCAGAATAAATGCTAAAATCAGGACAAGTAATAGTAAATTCTAGCCTAACATGCTTCACAGAGTACAAATAGTACAGCTAAACAAATAAGCAAGTAAGCCAGCTAAACATGTGTCTCTAAGTTAGCACAGGTATAAACTTACAGTCCAAAATGAACAAGTAAACATGGAATCTCAATTTAAATACTTCAAGTAGAAACGGGTTTACAACAATTAGCTCAAGTACGCGCTCGTCACTTCACGTACGAGGCATTCAAATATTCAAAGATCATGTCCTAAGGGGAAAGGTCCCCCACACAAGGTTAGACAAGCCACTTACCTCGAACCGGCTCAATATCAACTAGAAACCACACTCTTTCCACGAGTATCCGACTCCAAATGGCCCAAATCTATTCAATTCAATTACACATTGTAAATAACATCGCAAACACCTGGTTTTGCTATTAAATTCAAAGCTACGACGTGAAATTAGGTGAAATGACCAAAATGCCCTTCAGGCCAATGCCCCGAATTCGAATAATTTTTATATTTTCAGAACACTCGTACTCTCACGAGTCTAACCATATAAAAATCTCCCAAATCGAAGGTCAAATGCTCACTCAAAACCCAATAGTTTGGCCTAAGAAGTTTTAACCAAATTCTTCAAATTTTAATCCCAAATTCGAATTTTAATGATGGATTTAACTACAAAATGATGAAATATAACTAGAAGGGATTAAGAAAACGTTACCCAATGATCTTCACTTCAAAACCCACTCAAAATCGCCCTCTCCCGAGCTCTCAATTGATTTTTCTCAACTTTTGAAACTCAACCCTCGAAATTCCCTTTTCTGAACAGGTATTTCCGCTTCTGCGGACAAGGGACCGCTTCTGCGGTCCCGCTTCTGCGGAAACCAAGCCGCTTCTGCGGTTTTCACTTAATGGGCCAGGTTCCGCTTCTGCGGTACAAATCTCGCAGGTGCGAACCGCATCTGCGGTCAAACCTTCTGCACCTGCGGAAAAGCTGAGGAGTCCAGATTTCGCTTCTGCGATGACCAAGGCCGCTTCTGCGGTTCCCAAGCCGCAGAAGCGAAAAGATACCAGAAGCAGCAGAACTGCTACCTCTCAACTTCCAAAATTCTTCCGTTAACCACCCGAAATCATCCCAAGGCCCCCGGGACCTCAACTAAAAGCACCAATACCACCTAATACCTTATTCAAACTTGTACCAATCTTAAAAACACCTAAAACAACGGTGGAAACCCGAATTAATCAATGATTCAAGCCTAAGAACTTCAAATTCCAACAAAACACGCTTTCGATCAAAAACCTACCCGAACCTCGTCCGAATGACCTGAAATTTTGCACACACATCCCAAATGACATGACGAAACTACTGTAACTTCCGGAATTCCAATCCGACCCTCGGATCAAAAACTCACTGTCGGACCGGAAACTTATAAAATTCAAACTTCGGCATTTCAAGCCTAAATGAGCTACGGACTTCCAAAATACATTCCGAACACGCTCCCAACCCCGAAATCACCTAACGGAGCTAACGGAACCATCGGATTTCCATTCCGAGGTTGTCTTCACACTGTTTTGACTACAGATCACTTTTCAACACTTAAGCTCTCATTTAGGGACTAAGTGTCCCAAAGCTTTCCGAAACTCAACACCGAACGTCCCGGCAAAAAAAAATAGCAGAAATGAACTTAGGGGAAGCAGTTAATGGGGGATCGGGGCGTAAATTCTTAAGACGACTGGCCGGGTCGTCACACTTAGACCAACCCCTGATTTCCTTTTCAGGTCGAGGTGAAGGGGAGCATCCAAATATGGTACATGGATAGTGGCTGTTCAAAGCATATGACAGGAAGCAAGAACTAGTTCCATTCACTTGAGGATCTTAAGGGAGGTAATGACTCCTTTGGAAATGGAAAGAAATGTGAGATCATTGGGGTTGAAAAGATTGGTAAGTCTGATTCTCACTCTATTGAGAATGTATACTTGATAGATGGACTGAAGTACAATCTAATAAGTGTATTGAAATTAAGTGATAGATGTAACATGGTAGCCTTCACCTCTACAAAATGCTTTGTGATAAATCTTACCATTGACAAGATAGTTTTGAAGGGAAAAAGAGTGAACAACATATATGTTGTGGATCTGTCCACACTTCCAGATAATGAGCTCACTTGCTTAAGTGTGTTGGATAATGATCCCCTCCTTTGGCACAAGAGACTTGGACATGCCAGTCTAAGCCAACTCAACAAACTAGTCTCCAAGGACTTAGTGATAGGGCTGCCTAACATTAAGTTCAAGGAAGATAAAGTTTGTGAGGATTGCGCAAGGGGAAAGCAGGTAAGATCCTATTTCAAAAGCAAAAAAATGGTAAGCACTACCAGGACGACTGGTCCATATAGATCTTTGTGGACCAATGAGAATATTGAGCAGAGGTGGTAAGAGATATTTATGGTTCTTGTTGATGATTACTCTAGGTTTACTTGGACGTTATTTTTAACATCTAAAGATAAAACATTTGACATGTTCACTTCATTTGTTAGAAAAACTCAGAAACAACTAGGTAATCAATTCGCATTAATTAGATCTGATCATGGTACTGAATTTGAGAATGCTAAATTTGCTGAACTTTGTGATGAGCATGGCAAAAATCATAACTTTTATGCTTGTAGGACTCCACAGCAAAATGGAGAAGTTGAAAGGAAGCATAGGCATTGGAAGAAAGGGCTAGGACTATGCTTCTTTCTAGTAAACTGCCCTATAGCTTATGGGCAGAAGCTGTGAACACTGCTTGCTACATAATAAATAGGTCCATGAATAGACCTGTAGTTAAGAAGAATCCCTATGAGTTACTTAAAGGGAGAAAGCCAAATATATCCCATCTTAGGGCCTTTGATGGTAAGTTCTTTGTGCACAATAATGGTGAAGACTCCCTAGGTAAGTTTGATCCCAGAAGTGATGAGCGAGTATTCTTGGGATATTCTTCACATAGTAAAGCTTATAAGATTTATAACAAAAGAAATGTGTGTAGAAGAAAGTGTACATGTGATTTTTGATGAAACTAACATTCTTTCTGAGAAGCAGGAACATGATGATGAGGCAATTGGGCTAGTAAGAAACTCAAATCAAACCACAACCCAGACTGAAGTTGTACCAAAGGAAGGAACAGGTCCTTCCACTTAGGGCAACCTGACAGGGGGAGCTGAACAAAGAGAAACTGATCCTCAAACCTCGAGGGAACCTGTCCATGAACCTGTTCCTCAGCATTAAAACATTGAAGGAACATCTAGGGGAAATCAGCTAGTTGTGAAACCTTATAAGTATCAAAGTTCTTGTCACAACCCAAACCGATGGGCCGCGACGAGTGCCCTAGTCCTACCTGTCGAACACTCATAAGCATGCGACTAAGATATAAACATGAATAATATTTGCTGAATTACGAGAATAACATGCGTGAGGAAAACCTGTCCAAAAGACATATATACTTATACGTGCGGAATATGTAGGGCAAGCCGACGAGGCTGCTATAGACAACTACATATCCAAAATTGGAAGCCGACAATGCCAGATACTATCCAACTATACATAACTGTCTACATACCTCTAATCGAAATACAACTGTCAAAGACGGGACTGAGCCACGTCATACCTATATATGTATACAAGCATATCGTACAAAAATCAAAAGCAGCTCCGGATCAAGTGGAGCACGCCAACTCTCGCTGATCAAGGATCCTAAGAAGAGGGACCGTCAGCTTGCCTACCTGCACCTGCAGGAATGAAACGAAGGCCCCGGGAAATAGGGCGTCAGTACGAACAATGTATTGAGTATGTAAGGCATGAAAAATTAGTACATAAAAGACATAGATAAAACATAGAATAAAGAAATCCACCTGTAAGTCTGAATAACTTTGTAAATTCTGCAACATTTATAGTGTCATGCACGTGCATATAAATGTCGTGTCATGCATAGGTATAGGTGTACATAACATCATCAAGCCTCTAAGGGCATCCCATCTGTCACGCCCCGAACCTGGGCCTGGACGTAACACGACACTTGGTGCCTGACTACATGTCACCAAGCGAACCAACTGCTGGCTGAATCAACATGTGGAATCATAACATACTGAATGCGGAAGATAAACTAACAGATGTTGATATACTGAAAGTCTAAATGATATAAATCAAAGTGCGGAAATACTAATACTGTCACGACCCAAAATCCACTAAGGGTCGTGGTGGCGCCGGACACCGCCGCCAGGGCAGCCAACTCAAATACTTAATTAAATCTCATTTTAACACTTTTGAAAAACATTTCTTTTATATGTTTTAAACAAGACTCAGTGTATTCTTTCGAATAAATAAATAAAATATTTAAACAACTTTTAAGATTTCCAAATAATCCAAATACATCCCCAGAACCCGGTGTCACAAGTACATGAGCAACTACTGATAAGAGAAATAAAATACAATATCCGTCCGGAATACAGTGGACGGAAAGTAAATACAGTACACTGGAAGGGACTACCCTAGCTGCGGTCGCCTAGAATGATGCAGCTCACCTAGTCCCAGACACGTCCGTGCTTCTACGCCCCGTAGGCTGCTAGAGGTATATATACCTATGCAACAAAAATGCACAGAAGTGTAGTATGAGTACGTAATCAACGTCTACTTAGTGAGTGTCCCGCCTAATCCCGAAGGGGTAGAGACGAGATGGTCAACTTGACACTCTCTAATAGTCCAATGATTATTTGTCCTTAATATACATATTAAACAGTGGATTTATTTTATAAACATGATTTTAATCCAGATAGAGGAAACAAGTAAACACCTAATTCTTTCATAGGAAAATTTCCAGAGTTTCTCTTTAAATATAATCCAAATATTTTTAAGCCACAAAAGGGCAATAATAACTTAATTAAGTCCAGGCAGCAACACAAGCATGCGCAAATCATACCGAGGCGACGGCCCGATCTAACAAAAATAAATGTGCATTTGCCGAGGGTCGACGGCGCGCCTATAGATGCATCTATTAATCTGCCGAGGCGTTCGGCCCGTTCCAAAATAAACACACACACAGTCAGACAATCAGTCAAGAAGTCAACATGGAGCAATTATCCAAGAAAGGCCAATTCTCTTTATTAATTTGAGAAAACGAAGCATAAGTCTTTTTAGAAATCCATTTATTAATTTAATGTGATCTAAGCAATTCAAACCATCAATGGTTCACAATTATTTCAAATATAACATGCTTTTGGGTCCTAGACTACCCGGACAATAGCATAATAATAGCTACGCACGGACTCTCGTCACCTCGTGCGTACGTAGCCCCCACAAATAGGAGCACTTAACCAGTTTAACTCACCTATGAGGTAAATTCCCCTTCACAAGATTAGAAAGGAGACTCACCTGGCTCCGAAGATCCACAACCGGCATTCTACATTCTTCCGAAGACTTGCACCAACGCACAATGCTCTAAAACTAGCCAAAGATCATATAAATCCATTAATACATGCTCAATTAATACATGCTCAATTATACTTTACAACCCAGTTTATAACACCCGAAAAGTTGAAAAAAATGCCCTCGGTCCCACGTGCCCGGAATCCGAAATTTCTCGAAGATAAAGTTTACCCATGAACTCACGAACTCAAATATATGATTTTCTCTTAATTCCATACTCAAAATCGTGGTCAAAATCCAAGAACACTAATTTTCTAGGTCTTCCTCTAACCCTCAATTTTCTACCCATTTACATGCTAAAAATCCATACATAATCAATGTATTTAACTCAAAGGTGATGGGGATAACTTACCTTAACCATGACGACAAAAATCCTCTCTTGAAGCTCCCCAAAATCGCCCAAGCCATAAAGAAATGGGAGAAATGAACTCAACCCACGATTTAAATCAACCTTTCTGCCTCCAGGTCTTTTCGCTTCTGCGGAAACTATACCGCATCAGCGGTTCTGCTTATGCGGTCTAAAGGCCGCTTCTGCGGCTCCTTCACAAGCCCCCCTTTCTCGCTTTTGCGATGCTTCGACCGCAGATGCGGTACCATTTCTGCGGCTGCTCGACCGCATCTGCGGTCCTCTCTCTTTTGGTCCCAACCGCTTCTGCGGTCAAATTCTCGCCTCTGCAGGGCCGCTTCTGCGGTCCCAAATCCGCAGAAGCGGAAATGCCAGAAGCAGCAGCTCCAGCTCTTCCTCAAACTCCAAATCCGATCCGTTAGCCACCCGAAATTCACCCGGGGCCCCCGAGACCCCAACCAATCATACCAATCAATCCCAAAATACATTACGGACCTGCTCGAGGCCTCAAATCACATCAAGCAACGCTAAAATCATCAATCGACCTCCAATCCAAGCTTTATGAACTTTGAACTTTCCAACTTCTATTTCCGATGTTTAAACCTATCAAATCACGTCCGATTGACTTCAAATTTTGCACACAAGTCTCATTTGACATTGCGGACCCACTCCAACTTCCGGAATTGGATTCCGACCCCGATATCAAAAAGTCAACCTCCGATCAAACTTCCCAAAACCTTCAAATTTCTATCTTTAGGCAAATGGCTTCAAAATGACCTACGGACCTCCGAATTCACTTCCGATTGCACTCCCAACTCCAGAATCACCATACGGAGCTATTCCCAGACTCGAAATCCCAAACAGACATCGATAAAACTGAAATGCACTTCAAGCCAAACTTAAGAAATTCCTTCCAAAATGCTAACTTCCACAATAGGCGCCAAAACGCTCGCGGGTTATCCAAAACCCAATCCGGGCATACGCCCAAGTCCGAAATCATCATACGAACCTGCTGGAACCTTCAGATCCTGATTTCGAGGTTGTTTACTCAAAATTCGAATCCTAGTTCATTCTTTCAACTTTAAGCTTCTCAAATGAGAATTTTCATTTAAATTTAACTCCGATCTTCCTGAATTTAAATTCCGACCATGCAAACAAGTCACAATTCCTGAAATGAAGCTGCTCATGGCCTCAGACTGCTGAACCACCCGCTAGGGCTCGAAACGACCGATCGGGTCGTTACAAATACAATTCTGGAATATATTTGTAGCCCACAAGGCTTAATACGAAAGGCATGCAACTCTGTCTAGCTGTTACTCTAGTCTATGAAGCCTCTAATGAAATACTGAAAACACTAACTATCTGAAAATATTGAAGACTGTAAGGTAATGATAATGCCCCGAAAGAACTGGGATCTCCAAATAGCTGGTACGAGAATCCTAGCGCTCTAAATCATCAACCTATAAATCATTACCTGCATCGTAAGATGCAGGCCCCGGGCAAAACGGGATACGATCGTCGTATCAATCACTATACGCTGTACTCAAACTTGACTGCATAACTCTGCTGAATTCACACTTTGCATCACTTTACTCATAGGACCACAATAACATTTTTGTTTGAATTAATCGAAATTCCACGAAT